TCAGGGCGGTGGCCCGCCTCGACCCCGCCCGGAGGGCGCGCGGGTGGGAGGGGGGGGGGAGAGGGGGGGGGGGGGGGGGGGGGGGGGGGGGGATGTTGGGGTGGGTGACAAAGCCTCTGGTGCTCAAGGGCGCCGCTGCACCAGGTCACCTCTGCACCAGGTCACCTCTGCCTGTGGGCGGCTGACAGACGCCTGCAGGACTGGGTCAGGTTGCAAAAGGGAAGGGAGGCGGCTTTATTTCCAAAATGGTAGTGATTTGCTAATACTCCATCTTAAAATTCTAGAGCTTTCATTGTTCTTTTCCTGAGAGCGATGAAGAATTGCTTAAAGAATAGCTATGAAGAATTCCTTAAAAAACTACAGAAATAGAAAAGAGTCGGGGAAGGGGCGCCAGGTGGCTCAGTCGGTTAAGCATCCACCTTCGGCTCAGGTCATGACCTGATGGTTTGTGGGTTCGAGCCCCGCATCGGGCTCTGTGCTGACAGCTCAGAGCCGGGAGCCTGCTTCGGATTCTGTGTCTCCCTCTCTCTCTCTGTCCCTCACCCACTCGTGTTCTGTCTTCCTCTCTCTCTCTCAAAACTGAATAAATGTTAAAAAAAAAGAAAAGTGGGGGAACAAAGCACCCAGCGTTTGATGGGCAGCTCAAGCTCTGTGACATGGGCCAAGGCCCTCCGCCTCCCTGCGTGCTGGGGTGCCCCTGGTGTGTAGTACTTGCTCGATAAGGGATCTTTACTGTCAGCAAAAATGACGCCTGTAACCCTTCATCCAGACATAACCACTTGGTTACCTTCTAGGCAGTTTTCTGTGCTAGAAAATGTCTACCAGGTTTCTTAGAATATTATTCATATCCCATAAAATTCATTTCCATCCAGCTCCATTTTGAATGGTACGGTTCATTGACTTTTAGTACACTCAGGGCTGTGTGTGCATCACCACAATTAACTTTAGAATGTTTTCATCATTTCTCCAAGGAATCCCATGTACTTCATCAGACCCCATCCATCCCGTGCCCCTCCCCCCACCCCACCCCCTGCCCCAGCCCTAGGCAATCACTCATCTTCCTTTCCTCCCTATAGATCTACCTGTTCTGGACATTTCTATAAATGGAATCATACAATCAGTGGCCTTTATGATTGGCTTCTTTCCTACAGCGTAATGTTTTCAAGGTTCATCCTCATAACCCGGATCACTACTTCGTTTCTGTTTATTGCTGAGGAAGAGTCCATTGTATGGATGTATCACATTTTGTTTATCCATTCATCCACTGATGGGCATTTGGGGTTTTTTTTTTTCCTCAATGTTTATTTTTGAGAGAGAGAGTGGGAGCGGGGGAGGGGCAGAGAGCCAGGGAGACACAGAATCAGAAGCAGGCTCCGGGCTCTGAGCTGTCAGCACAGAGTCTGACATGGAGCTTGAACCCATGGACCGTGTGATCCTGACCTGAGCTGAAGTCGGATGCTCAACCGACTGAGCCACCCACCCGGGCGCCCTTGGGCTGTTTTTACTCTGTGTGGACATAAGACTTTAAATCTCTCTTACCTAGGAGTGAAGTTGCTGGTGCTGAATGTCACCGTGTTTGACATTTTGAAGAACCGCCAGGCTGTGCCCTTTCACATGCCTCTCAGTGGGGTTCTGTCAACATT